CGCGAGGGGGAAAAGAGGGGCTCGAGAGAACTTAGCACAAGCCGATGCTGGTCCGTAACTGACAGCCCGTATGGTTGTGATGCTGATACGCAGCTTTGCATTTTACACTGTGTTTTTATGGTGAGTGCTGTCTTTAGGGAAATTCAGAGAGCAAAGTATAAGAAACTTCTTTTTTTGTCTTTTCTTTTTTCCCTTTCATTTGTTCATGTTCCTGCAAAAGATGCAGAACACCATACCCACAGCCCACTCTTCTGAAAATGATGCAGGAGAGCACTCCTGAGCCAAGCTGAAATAGCCCTTTGGGCCCACTTTCAGCTGGGGAACAGGCCTGTTGTTTCATCTTCTAACTCCATTTACATTTTGTTCTCTCTTTTTCTTTTATTGTGCAAGTAAGAGAAAAAAAAATAAACCATTCCAGTATCTAAAATGAAAGTTATATACCAAGCAAACCATATAGCAAAAAAGTGCTGAACTCTTTTCTTCTGCAAGCATTATAAATTCAAACCTAGTGAAGTTGTAATTTTATTAGATGTTTGATTCAGGTTTCTATTTATGTAATTAGCATCAGTGTAACTCTAGATTTGCTATTGGGGCCTCCAGGTTTCCCCAAACTCTACAGCACACTGTACAGTACTCACACTTTTGCATGATTAGAGCCTTTCTATTGTCATTATTGTATTGTGTATAGCCCAGCTCTGTACTGTTAAATGACTCTTTTTCTGTATTATGCCTGCTGTCCATCTTTTGAACTTCATTTACACAAAATTGTGACATTTCCATTAAATCTTTATCCCAAATTATCTCAGATATTTCTAAAAGATCTTAAAATTTTCTTGCAGTTGGGTTTTAGGACTGTATCAATCAGTTTTAGCCAATAAGTTGAACACTGTCAGTCCATTGTTTTGCAACCAAATCCTGCAGACATATTCAGACATAAATACTATGTCATATATGTCACCTCATTGTTGTAATATGGCTATTTCTACGTAATTTTATTGAAGATACTCATGAGCAAGATTGTTTGAATTTGCAGTATCAAAAATGGATTTAGAGCTTTTTGTTTAGCAAACCAAGTCAGATGGTAAAGCAAGCTACACATGCCTTCTGAGATAAATACTCTAATACTAGTGACATCTTTCTAGCAGTCTAACAAGAGAAGTTTGGTTATGCAGCACTTTCTTATGAGTATTGTCCCATTTATTTTACTGGGACTATTCACTTGACAAAGAATTGCCCAAGCAGATCCCAGGCTGGTGCCTCTGATGCTAAAAGTACCTTCTGACAACAATTTCCAGATTTTTTTTTTATCTGATACTGAAGAGCAATGACTTGTGTTTCTGTAGGGCAAGTCCGTAATGGTGGAAAACAGCTTGATAGCTGAGCAATTACCAGCTTTAGGCTTTTCCTTCCATCTCTTCTGCTTACCTTGTTATCTTCTCATAAAGTAGTTAAAAAATCTCACAAATATGTGTGGTACTTAAATCCATCCAGCCAGTTTGCTTAAGAGAGTGGTGAGTGGGCCTCTTCATAGCCAACTGTGTTTGCTGATAGCATACCATTGAGGGGAGAGATAACTCTGGGTTTGCATATTTCAAATCTAGCATTTTATTGCGGTTTAGAAAGTCAAATCGGTGCTTTGTGTGGAATCTAGAAGGTCTGCTCAGCTGAGAGGCAGTAACATCTGAGCATGTTAACAGCATGCTGATTGCACAACCGCAGGTGGCTTTTGAAGAGCTGTTTCCCAGTGAGAGCAAAGGGGAGCCAAGACTCTACCTGTTACGGCAGAATAGTGATGGACAAGCTCTGTCCCACAGAGGGTTGGTATAGGCTGCCCTAGCCCAGCTGCCTTTCTGTCCCTCTCCCTTTTTGGCCTCCTCAGGGGCACATCTTCAGAGGCCAACTCTCCCATCACCTTCTGCTAGTGGTGCCTCCCTCCAGAGAGGGGGCTAACTGCGGTCATGTGGGGGTGTGTGGCTCCTGCCATTTCATTTTTTCAGGGACAACAGGAGCATTTGCCAGTGACCCTGGATTTTGGAAGCTTAAATAGCACCTGTTCAAGAACAAAAGTCATAACAGAAATAAACAGACTGTGAACCACTAAACAGTCTGCACACGTGCTGAGTTTGCTATCAGACTTTTGGGCTCTTGGCCAGGCCATTCAGCAAGCTTGTCAGTTCTCTGCTCCAGAAACAGCATTTCATGGCTTTGCGTTAGTGCTTGGATTAAATAAGAGCGACCTCTTCTCCTGTATCAGGCTGGTCAGTGTGTGCAGTTCTCTTCCTTTGATGCTTTTTTTCAACCAGTTCAAACCAGGGTATACCTCTCTTCCAAAAGTATAGGCTCGTCTAAAGACAATTATGTGTCTGAGGATTTTCTTCAGAGACTTCAGGTCCTGCTGGAATATTCTGTACCTTCCTCCAGCGACACACAGACATGTGAGTCAATGACCTTGAGTATTCCATATGCCTTTGGCATCTGGCACATCTGTATGTCCCTATGTTTCCAAGATCTGAAACCTGTCATATGAAGTATTTGTCTTCTCAGGGCCAAGTGGTACCCAAGAAAGGTTCTCTCCCAGCTGCCTCCCCCTGGTATGTAAATGTAAGGTAGGGGAAAGAGGGCACCTCAGCTCCTGCTCTGCCTGGGTAACCTGTTTTGTGCCAGGTTTCACTCTGCAGCGCATCTGCTTTCATTCCCCTTCCAGAGAATCTTGTGCTGGGCTCTATATTGTGTCCTAGAGGTGGGTACCCTGCCCAAACCACCTCTAGCCCTGTCTTCAGCTGCAGGGTAAGGGGAGGCAGAAAGATTAATAGTCATTCTGTTTGTTACCATCTGTTTGTTCACTTGCCCTATAGTTCTATAACCATTGAGCATGTGGATCCATATCCTTCCTTGCACAACAAAGCTATATCCAATTTAATCATCTAGTGGCCTCTCAAATATACAGATAGCAGCACTTATGTCATGCAAAATTCATAAGCTCCCCACACTTCTTGTCCCTTGATACTAAAATATTCCAGTATTTCTTCACAGATAGATATAAAATTTTGTTCTCATACACAGAAGAACATTCTCTGCTGAGAACTAACAGTAAGCTTTAGCCTGTTCAACCGTGTATTTAGAGACATGTTTTTGAGTTAAGAAATATGTTTTTCTTATTCCCAAGATAACAAGCTGTATTTCAGACTAGAGTGGCTTTATGTCCATTTAGAAGAAAATCTCCTGAGGGAAAATAAGGAGGAAAAAACTCCATTCAGGATCAAAACGGTGAAACTTTACAAAAGACCTGTTTATTCCAGAGACTGCATGCTTTTATCAAAAGGACACTATCTCCAAACATAGTCATAAAGGTTAGGCTCCAAGGCAATTTCTGTATTGAGTGGAGGCATCTCACAAAGCAGAAGCAATATTACAGTAGAGAATGCAGTCCCCAAAATTTCACAATAACAGCCAAACTGTCAAAGAAGACTTGAAGTAAAGCGTCCATAGGATTAAGAAGGGTAATCTGATTGACCGAACTCTGTCCAGTGCAAGCACTGACTGTGACTTGATCTTTTGAGTCTGAAAGTTTGAGATTAGGAAGATGGTCTGGAGGTTTTTAGTACAGCCACAGCTGCATCCCTCTGCAGAGCTGTTCAGATCTCAGAGCAGCGTGCTCACTGCACAACAGCTTTCACATTTGGGGTGTCGTAAGAATAAATACCAAACTGCAGTATTCGGTTGACCAATAGTCATTAAAAACAACAGCAATAAGGAAAAGTGTAAGTGAAAGAATCACCACCGCTTTCATGTAAGCTTCCTGGTTTATGTGTTACAATAGAAACAGTCTGGTGT